ATTTTAAACACTTTCAGTAGTGTATTATGAAAATTCAAAGGGTTTTCTTTAAAATTATACCAAATTTTTGCATTTACACCTCTGCATGTGCATTTGGGAAGCTTTTAAATTTGGGTAGGCAAAATCCAGGCGGAAATCCTAAAATAGCAGCAGAGTTTAACTGGCTAAGCAACTCCAGTTTGACCCCTTTTACCCCTTTTGTTTTTGGTGTCTCCAGAATGTGTCCGTAAAGTTTCAGCTTTTCAATAACATTTTTTTGCATTATTGCAAAGGCCTTCACTGACTCTTTTGATCAGTTTAAAGGATTAACTTGACTTTGGCTGCATTTAGGCCCAGTCCCAATTCTATTTTGTACCCCTTCCCCTTTTCCTTCCCCTTGGCCCTTAAAACCGAGGGCTAAGGGGGAGGGCTTTAAAATTTAACCCTAAGAAATGGGACAGCACTACACCACCTGCACACGTCATCATATGTCATTATCATCAGAGATCAGACGATCGCGACTGCTGTAGTTATTCCAGTTGTGCTATCTTTAGGTATTTATCTTCAGGAAATCACTGAAGGCGTATACAGTATTATGTTATCATCACGATCTAATGTGGGTTACAGAAGCATCTTCTGATGCACAGCCTTTGACACATCATCAGTGTTGTTTCCTGGACTCACAGGGTGTTTCGGGTCTTGCAACAGACACCCTCCTCCAGGCAGGAATGAAGAAAAGAGCGCTCTTTTATAATCAGCTGTTAGTCAGCGCTCGCTCGTTTTTTTTGTTTGTTTGTTTGTTTTTTCTCTGGTTAATGCACCTTTGCCTTGTGCAGTGTAAATGCAGACAATCGTGTGCAAGTCACTTTTAAAAGATGATGTAAGCAGGTCATCAAAAAAATCTGATAGAGTCACAAAATCAGATTTGACCATCGAGATCTGCAGTGTAAATTCAGCTTTAGCTGAATAACGAAAGCGGTGAGAGCGTCAAAGTAGCTGGAAGTCATTCATTTTCAATGAGAGCTGGTGGCAAGGTGCATTTTTGATCGTGTAAGCGTCGAGGAGAGTTGAAATCAAGTCAACTTTACGCCAATGTTAAAGTCAACCGCTTGAGACTAGTCCTGTGAACTTTGATTCTGACCACAGTTGTTCCCGATAGTTTATTGCAGTTCTCCAATTTCAAATATTTACAAAGTTTTTTTACAGGGAAGTACATAAAGTTACTGGCAAGTTACTGATGTGCATTAATGTTATATACATGTATACATGGATATACAGTCACCAGCCACTTTCTTAGGTACACCTGCCCAACTACTTGTTATCGCAAATTTCTAATCAGCCAATCACATGGCAGCAACTCAATGCATTTTGACATGTCGACATAGTCAAGATGATCTGCTGCAGTTCAAACCGAGCATCAGAATGAGGAAGAAAATTGGAAGATTTGGAAAAACGTTGCCTGGTCTGAGGAGTCTCGATTTCTGTTGCAACATTCGGATGGTCGGGTCAGAATTTGGTGTCAACATAGCTCCATCCTTCCTTGTATCAATGGTTCAGGCTAGTGGTGTTGGTGTAATGGTGTGGGGGATATTTTCTTGCACACTTTGAGCTCATTAGTACCAATTGAGCATCATGTCAACACCACACCCTAATTGAGTATATGTCATAAAGCGTGAATCATCTCAGACTGATTTCTTGAACATGACAATGAGTTTACTGTACTCAAATGGCCTCCACAGTCACCAGAACTCAATTCAACAGAGCACCTTTGGCATGTGGTGGAAGGGGAGATTCACATCATGTGCAGCCGACAAATCTGTGTGATGCTATCATGTCAGTATGAAGCAAAATCTCTGGGGAGTATTTCCAGTACCTTGTTGAATCTATGCCACAAAGGATTAAGGCAGTTCTGAGGGCAAAACGGGGTCCAACCTGTTACTATAAGGTGTACCTAATAAAGTGGCCGGTGAGTGTATGTAAGTATATACACATTGGATTAATGATTTTCAAAACAGATATTTTAGAAAAACAGCTCTTAAAAAGCAGACTAAATTGATACACATATTAGGATGCACATGCTGAAAGGATTGAGACGCTTTCATTTTCCGCCACCCGACACCTCCAAACCTTTAATTTATAGCACCACTTCCTTAATCCGCCCAGGAAGAGACTGACGGGAGGCAGGAGGAAGAGGCGAGATCCTCGTAATTGATTAATATTTTAGGTCAATTGGCAGAAAGCCTTCATCCCCCCGTGAGAAGCAGAACAGCGGGTCACGGCGACAGGCTTTAGGACTCATTTGCTGTAATTGGATTTCAAATCTCTGGAAGGCTTTTCTATTTGCTTATTAATTGAAGCAGCTTAATGACTCTTACTTTTTCCCCCAGTTCTTGTCAGTGAAGGAACTCTCGAGGTCGTACTGGTGCCTCTGAGGTCAAAGGTCATGTTTGCGCTCACATGTGCCTTACAGCGTTTCACTGCAGCTTTTATAACCTCCTCATAAATCAATCACAGTTTCCCCCCAAGGACTCGCTCTGTTCTCCTCCCGCAGAGCGGATTTCTGCTTCAGGAATATAGCGGAGTAATAAGACCAAGCCGTGTTTCGCTTCTTTTACATTTTCAGTGTGTCAGATAGATGTCCTAATGGAGTACTTCACCCAAAAATGACTTTGTGCTGCAGAAATGCATTGTAACTAATGGGTTATTTGAGCTATTCACAATCTTTTTTGCTGTTGAGTAAAACATTTCAATCACACTTTATTTTAAAGTACAAATAATGAACCATTAATTATGACTTTTTAGCTTTTAATAAACTTCTAATTATTAACCACTTAAACTCTGCTGCTATTTGGGGATTTCCACCTGGATTTTGCCAACCCAAATTTAAAAGCTTCCCAAATGCACATGCAGAGGTGTAAATGCAAAAATTTGGTATCATTTTAAAGAAAACCCTTTGTATTTTCATAAAACACTATTGAAAGTGTTTAAAATAACTGTATATGTTGTCTTTGTTATAATAAACACCTATAAAAAGAGGCGCTTTTTGTATTTTTTTTATAAACTCAAATTTGAAAGTGTACCTTTTAGGTTCTGTGTGGTCTAGTGTGCTGTAATTAATTTTGGTGGCTCCTGCACATGTCTGTAATCATAGGAAAAAATAAAAATGTCTCCACCATAATCTATGCAAAAGTTATTGCATTCCTACTGATGAGAGGAGCTGTACAAGCCACAGAGACCGATCATTGTTTACATATTTCACTAATCTTTTGTTTGATTAAACATAATTCACTGTGTTTGGACCACGTCAGACATATAAAAGGATTACTTATGCACATCACCTCAAAAACAGAGGAGAATGGCCCTGAAGGGCACAGCATGAGGTAAGAGATGACAGCTGTCTGTGCTATCTGGGGCTGCTTATTGATCATCAATGTATTGTTTACATTTCTGCGCCATGGAAACACCACAGTTCATTCAACAACTGTTTGGCATATGAATATAATTCAGTAAAAAGAATGTTAGAACTGTATGAGCACCGGAAAGAGCTTTCATTTGAGCTATAACTTGTACATGTGTCATAGAAAAATATGAAAATGAACCAATGTAAAATACCTAGCTCGGGTATCTAAAATGCTGTGTATTTAAGTGTAAATAACGTTTATACAGTAGAATAAAAACCAAAGTGATGCATATGTGCATACAATATAGATTCTACACTTTCAAACGAAACCACTTACGGGGGTCTGGTGCAACGCTAGCCCTTTAAATCTGAAAGCGAAAGTCGATGACGTCACGGACCTGGTACCGGGTCAGCAGAGTTTAAGTGGTTAATAGCTATTAAGTTAATAGTTGTGTTTAGGTATTGCACTGTAAAAAAATGCAGGGTTCCACACAATTTATATATGTCAGAGCTCGAAATTGCGACCATTTTGGTCGAGTATGCGCCCGAAATTTTATCTATGCATATAAAAAGTCTCGAAAAACGCTGCCGATAAACGCAAACTAAAAACGTCCCGGTGTGTAGGAGCCTTAAGAAGCTGCTGTGAGCCATTTTCCCCTTGTCAGACGGCATCTTCTGCCATTTAAATGAAGCCTCGTCATCGCTAAAGTCAACATTTTCTCTTTCTTACAAATATACAACCAGCCCAAACAAATGTAGTTCACCAAAATGTTTGGCACACACACGTGGCCTACTGTACTGTCCCACAAACACACACATTTAATAAGTGTCACAAAGTGGCCGCGAATAAATAATTAAATTTATTTATTTATTTAATAAATAAATAAATCATAACATGAAGACAAAAAATGACATTTTTAGGTGAATTATACCTTATAAATACAGTATGTGACTCTTTCAACATCATTTGGAGGTGTCCATGTTGCTGAGCAATGTATGTGAAACTATGAAAAGACTCGTGCAGCCGCCTTTGCTTCTCTCCTGAACTTGAAAATAGAATTGACAGAATCATAGAAATGCTTTATTAAGATCGTCTAGGGGATTGAATCGAGATCGCGATCTTTTTTCGATTAATTGTGCAGCTCTACAACCTTCCTTTGGCTTTGGATCTGTTTTAGATCTGGGAAATTTAAATTCAAATGAGATTGTGCTCTTTTTTAAAAAGAGGGCGGAGCTACACCTGCCTGTGTGTTAGCATAGTGGCAGATTCAAAAACAAGACCTATGGAGAAAAAAAATGCTAATAAGGGAGAGATGGTCACTAGTGGGCGGGGCTTTCCCCTTCTGAAGACTCATACAAAGGGAGAATGTCAGCTAAAGTGTTTCTGAGGATTGTTTTTATCAAGTCTGATTGTATAATATATAATAAATATACTTTTACCATTAGAAGCTGGTTATATTCATGCACTGCTGCCACACATCTGTACTTAACCCCCTTTATAAAAGCGATTTTTGCACAATAGGTCCACTTTAACTGTATAAATCTGCATTCAGAGCAGATTTCGTGTGTGTGTGTGTCTGTTTTAAAATTCTCAGCACATCTCTCTTTCTTCTTGTTATAGGTATGGAAAAATTGTATCAACCAAGGCCATCTTAGACAAAACCACAAACAAATGCAAAGGTATGTACATTTATGCTTTGCTCTTTGATTCATGTAGCTTAAAATATGTGCAGTTTGTGTTTGGTGTGTAATATTCCTCAAAGTCAGAATATAGCATTGTTGTTATTGATGTATTGAACTTTTACTTTAGACAAATCTCAAAAATTGCTTTCTATGCCTGGGATAATGAAAGAACACCACTGTGTTTGTAATTAGGTTAAAGGTGCAGTAAGTGATCTTCCAAAATGTGATCTGTTAGCATAATAGTTTTGAAAACACAGTCCCCTTTCCTGCCGCCCAAAGCAACACCTTCTGAAATCACAATCACACATCATAAAGATGACAGTAGACAACCCACTAGATCAAGGGTGGCCACCCCTGTTCCTGGAGAGCCACCTTCCTGCAGATTTCAGTTGCAACCCATATAAAACACACCTGCCTTTAATTATCATGTGGTTTTAAAGTCCTAATTAATTGGTTCAGGTGTGTTTGATATGGGTAGCAACTAGGGATGTAACAGTATTGTAAATACCGTCATACCGCAATATTAATTTTTTTCGATATTACCGAAGTCGCATGACTCGGTAAAACTATAGGCCTTCTGAGAAAATTTGCTCAGGCGAATGAAGCGAACGGGAGGTAGCGAAAACTACAATTCCCATCAGCCCATGCTTGACCATCATCCCTTGCGGTCTGTTGTCGCTACAGATCCAGTAATGCGGAAATGGAGTGTGCTGCTAGAAGCGGGGATGAAAAAGAGCTGGAAAACTCTAAAGCGGGTGTTGTCGCCGCGCGCGTACTGAATAGCGGTGTTGTCGCACGAGTTCTTATCAGCTGTGTTGTCGCGCGCGTACTGAATAGCGGTGTTGTCGCGCGAGTTCTTATCAGCTGTGTTGTCGCGCGAGTTCTTATCAGCTGTGTTGTCGCGCGCGTACTGAATAGCGGTGTTGTCAGCACACTGTTCAGATTGATGCAGACATGAGATCTCTATCTCACTCATGGTTTGTCCTCAGTTTTTTCTGTTGCAGGGGACATTGTAAATGCCCAGAGATACCAGCTTTTACCAGATTATATTTATATGATAATTTTCCTTTAAACCCATCTCTATCTAAGTGAGTGAGTGATTAAATGTTGAATGTGATGAGTTTTCAACAATACTAAATTGAAACTTTATTTTTTTTACATGGTTTAATATTTTTTTGTTATTAAAATTGAAGTTCCTGTTTCAAAGCTTACAGATAGATGGCTAATTTGTATGTCATTGACACTTGGCACTTTTTTGGAGTATTTTCATAAGTTTTGTTTTTTCCTGTAAATGATTCAATAAATACCGTACCGTGACATTCATACCGAGGTATTACCGTACCGTGAAATTCTGATACCGTTACATCCCTAGTAGCAACTGAAATCTGCAGGAAGGTGGCTCTCCGGGAACAGGGTTGGCCACCCCTGCACTAGATCATGTCATTCACCAGTTAGAAAACGTTTTAGTACTTTATAATACTACAATTCTGAATGAAAATTTGTATTATATCAGCATGTTTCAGTTGTGTAGCAAGCAAAACTTGTCATAATGTGCAATATTTCATGCATGCACGGATAGCTGGTCTCACTCTCTCACACATTTTGTCCTTAAGAGACTACTGTATAGTGTTTAGCCGGCTGGTGCAAGAATTACACTTATTACTAAGCCATACTTACATGCTATTTCAGAGCGAATATTCAGAGTAGCATGGTAAACATTAGAGGTAGCGCGTCACTGGCTGTCATTGTTCAAAACTGAACCAATGTGAATATAAAAGCAACTTCAGTGCAGTAAAGCAGGCTAGGCGGAATAGCGCTATTTACTGATGTTTTGTTGTTAAACTAAATACAAATCTACATTACCGATGCTGTAAAAGACCCTTATTAATCTCAAAATAGTCACATACATCTTTTACAGGGAGATTTCAGTGGCTGAACAACACTTCTGTGCATATAACCCATTCGTAACAACTACACAATCTACATCAGCTTTGAGTAACTAAAATAGTTTTAAAACAGAACATTACCTGTCTAACAGAAATACCTCAGCCATGGTGTCTTCCTTCCTCCAGCGTGCAAAACTAACTAAAATATTCATTCAGGATTTTAAAAAGTGTAGATTCGGCATTTGTTTTTTTATCGTAGTTTCTCTTTTGCATTAACATGAATGCACAAATGGCGAATCCGCGAGAGGCTGCTGTGTGCGCTTTTTCGCACCTCAAATGCCTCTTGCAAGTGCCGTTTGCGCCCACCAGAGGCCGCTGTCGACCGACTGAATGATTGACTGGGCAACCGGCCAATAGACTGACCCACCCTCCTCCTTCCCTAAACCCAACCAATTTTACCGATTGACCCTCCCGCCTGCTTGCTTCCCTAAACCCAACGAACGGTTTACAAAAGCCGTCCAGAAAAAGACCACATTTTCAGATTTTACCACATTCTCACCCTGTTGTTGTTTATTTTTTTGGATTCCTTTTTTGTCTTACTTGATTTCTGGAACCTCTCTTTCATGGACTCGAACTCGGTCGTCATCATCGTGGTCAACTCCTCTCTGCACCTCAAGTCCGCTGACGTACACGATGAGCTAGCTGGGCAAACTGGTTGCGGCGGGAAATCCCTCCACACGGAGGTAAACGGTCAGCTGATAACCTGCAAAAGAAACGGCATCATACCGCCTCGAGAAACGTCCTCGGGACTACGTTTTTTAGAATGAGCCTGTGTTGTATAACACATTTAGATCATTTACTTTAGTCATTACTATTGGTATACAATCACCTACAGCAGCTTTAACCAGAATCTGTAAGGAAAAGGTTTAAAAATCACATTTATTTCTTTAAAAAACAAACATGCAGAGCTTATTAGATTCAATTCAATTCAGCTTTATTTGTATAGCGCTTTTACAATGTTTTCAACAAGATTGTGTCAAAGCAGCTTCACATAAATGGTCATAGTAACTGGAACAGTGTGGTTCAGGTTTTAGTGTTTAAGTTCAGGTTCAGTTCAGTTTAGCTCAGTTCAGTGTGATTTAATCATTACTGAGAGTTCAAACACTGAAGAGCAAATTCATCGATGCGTAGCTCTACCAATCCTGAACCATGCGAGCCAGTGGCGACAGCGGAGAGGGAAAAAAAAACTTCACCTGATGGGAGTGAAGAAAAAAAAAAACCTTGAGAGAACCAGACTCAGTTGGGCACGACCATTTTAATTTCTCCGCTGGCCAAAAGTCTTGTGCAGAACTTCATTCGCCGTGGTTTATGCTGGAAGATGGCCTCAATGAAGACTCGTCTGTCCCTGGAGCGTCGCTGGAATCAGAATGATGATCTACCACGAGGATTAAGATAATTTGAGGATTTTCAGTAATCTGCATTTAAGCAACCACAAATAAATCATTTTAACTTGATTCTTCCTCAATATTTTAAAATAAAATGTACAATTATTTGTAAATAAATAGCATTAATATTATATTAAAATGCCAATTCATTAGGAAAACAAATTATTCTTGAATGCTAGATTTTCAAATATGATTTACTAGATTTTACAGTGTATATGGCATGTTTTGGGGGCGACACGGTGGCACAGTAGGTTGCACGATCGCCTCACAACAAGTAGGTCACTGGTTTGAATCCAGGCCAGGTCAGCTGGCATTTCTGTGTGGAGTTTGCATGTTCTCCCCGTGTTGGTGTGGGTTTCCTCCGAGTGCTCTGGTTTCCCCCAACAGTCCAAACACGTGTGCTGTAGGTGAAATGATAAACTAAATTGGCCGTAGTGTATGGGTGTTTCCCAGTACTGGGTTGCGGCTGGAAAGGCATCTGCTGCGTAAAACATACACTGGATAGGTTGGCGGTTCATTCCACTGTGGTGACCCCTGATTAATAACTGGACTAAGGGAAAATGAATAACATGTTTTACAGTATGTCCTGCCTGAGTGGGCCTGTTATGCATTATGTATATGTGTGTGTGTGTGTGTGTGTGTGTGTGTGTGTGTGTGTGTGTGTGTGTGTGTGTGTGTGTGTGTGTGTGTGTGTTTGTGTGTGTGTGTGTGTGTGTGTCTTTGTCTATATCTCCTGTGTGTATGCATCTGTGTCTATAGATCATTTGTGTGTGCCAGTTATGCGTTGTTTGTGTGTCTGTGTGTATGCAGTGTGTATGCACTGTGTGTGCATGACGCAGTGTGTCTTTGTTTTTACGTCCTGTGTGTGTTTGTTAGGCACTCTATGTATGTCTGTGTATTTATAT